ATTAATATTACATAAAATGGTATAATATATGGTAAGTTTTAGTTCTAACAAGATAGTATTACACTCTTTGGAGTAACGTCTTTTGCTAGTCGTCATACAAGGGGCATTGCCATAGTACATGATTTAAGTCCTGGTAAGGACATCTGCATGAGCACTCGCTACTGCCTATAATTCCTACGCGTGCTAGTGAGGAATTAAGATTGTATAGTCCAGTCAAGTTAGACCTGAAATGGAATTTTTTAACCTCGCTCAAACTTGGCTCGAATATTCTTAGGCATGCTAGATTTAAGTAGGGATAGTTTTTAGGGGGTTGCGAGCCCAGTGTCAGGATGATAAAGGGGTAAAACTGCTCGAAGAGTCCTTTCTTAACGTTTTTAGCAAAAACTATAATAGATATTAAAAAATGTTTTAGACAAAAGTTGTAGATAATATGAAAATCTACAACTTTTGTATGAAACATTTTTTCGCATCTATTATAGTTTTCTGTAAGACTATTTTGAAAATGTCGTATAATGTTTCCTTACACATCTCTTTGGCTACGTCTCGATAACAAGTCTGTAACAACAAATCATGCTAGTCTGTCTGTTGTGCCACAAGCTAACAGTTTTGGACATAGGCGATTATTATTAGGGATTTTATTGTAAAATTATAATTTATGAGTAACTAACTTTTCCATAGATAAACAATAAAAAGACAATGATTGGGCACCAGGCAAAGTCAATCCGCCAAACATTTACATTTTAATGTACAATCAATTTTAAACTGAGATGTATCTTGGCTTTATTAATTAAACAAATTATATTAAGACTCCTTGAGTGCGGGTACAATAACTCATAGACTTGATAAAAATAATTATAGTAATTCGACATCTAGTCGGGCTTACTGAAGTACCAAAATAGTAATAATCGACATATGGCAATCTTCGGCAATTACTTACACTTTTAAGAAGAAGCAATATCCAGGAAGTTGGGAGCGTTCTGTAATTGATGACAGTTTGGATTCTTCTAATATAATGTTGGTGGAAGTACTTTTTTTGTATCCCAACGCTAATTACAGGGCTGTAATTTGGATTCTTCATAGTAAACTATTGAGTTTTTTTTGCAGCAGAAAGTGAATGGAAGAGCCATGATCTACAAGTCCTGGGCAAATGAACCTGGGCTTGTGCATTGATAACCTTGTATATGCGTGTCTTTCGTACATGAGGAATTTAATGAATGATATAACCTTTTCGGAGCAGTTTATTTCTGCTAATTTCAACAATAGAATATTGCTATTTACATTGTCGAACGCTTCCTAAACGTCAAGGAATGCTGATAATGTATCTTTATTTATCTTGAAGCTACTTTTTATAGATAGAGTCATATTCACCAGGTTATCAATACACGATTGCCTCTCTTAAATCCCGTTGAGAAGGGAGAATCATGTTATTGTACGCACACCACTATTCAATTCGATTTTTTCAACATAGTTTTGAAAAGTCTACAAATACATGATGACAAAGAAATTGGTCTAAAGTTCACCCCATCCGCTTTTTTTATGAAATGTATGTAAGTGAGTTTCCACTCAGTGAGAAAGTTGGTTGTTTGAAACATTTCATTAAAGATATCGAGTAAAATTAGTTTGTATTTGATAGGTAAGTTTTGAAGTACGAAGTAATTGATACTATCAAGACCAAGGGCTGATTTCACATTTTTGCCTTCCAGTGTGCAGTTGAATTCGTTTGCATTTCATACTAGAAAGAACCTCGGGCACAAGGCACCCATGGGGGACTTATTTTATCTAAAAGCAATACTGATAGAGATGTCAGAGTTTAGGGTACTTGATAAGCTACGTGGGTGGGTGTTAACCCATTCATTTTTAAGTATCTTGCATTTGTTCGAAGTATAATTTCCGTTGGTTCTGAAATTTAAGGTTTCTGTGAAGTGTTTGAAGCTATTTATTTTTTTCCTTATATTTATTTTGTGTGCTTATATTCCTCACAGAGAAACTTTTCAAAACTGTCTTCTAGTGACCTTGATACATTATGCCAATTAGTTTGAAGTGAGTGAACTTTAGAAACCTTCTGTGATAAATCATTTTTTCAGTGTTTAATTTACAAATATAAGGAAGTCATCCGAACCACAGGTTTCGTTATGTGTTGTGACGCTGACTTCGTCTGCTATTGAGCTTGTTGACATGATAAAGTCAATATTAGATTTTGTTCCTCTGTTTGGGTTAACGTGGGTACATGAGTTGCAGTTGCGAATATGCAGATTACTATTATTTAAGACTGTTGATAATCGTTCTCCATTGTAATCGTCTATTTTAAATATCACTATCACTCCGCCAGAGTCACTCGGTAGTCATTAGTGAAATAAATTTTTCTTTTTGAGAGGATTCCAATCTACAATATTACTGAATATGAAGACAAATTAACATAATTATGTTAATTATAAGTCAGTTTAGTTGTTTATTAAACCATGTTGGATTCTATTGAAATATATCTCGTTATTTCCCGTCGAGTCAACGGCAATTTTACCAATTTCATTTTCTGATAAAATGATAACATTTTTGTATTTCTGATTCCGTTGTCACTTCCATTTTCAAATTATCATAATCGTATTAAAATTTGTCTATAAAAGAAATTCTGATTCTTTTGGATTATACTGTTCTTTTTTACTTCCGACTATAATCTATTAATCCTGTTCAAATGCAAATTTTCATCGTTCGCACTTTTTGTAAGGAAGGTGCTTAGTCGGACCAACGTGAGCTTACTGATGATGTCTGATAAGAGTCAGGCTGCCTGATGAGTTCACAATCATCACTGTAGATGATTAACTGATGAGTTATTTCATTTCTGAAGAATATTCTGGAGAGTTCTCTGGGTTTTCACTAGAGAGTTCGACTGCGTGAGTTCTCTGCTAGTACACACGTACCGAGTTGACTGTTACAACGAGTTGTCTGTGGGTTGGCATCGTCCGATGATGCCCAGGAATCGTCTGAGTACGAGCTACGTACGATACTTGCAGTAACCGACGAATACTAAAGATTACGGACCGTTTTTCCCGAAAACTCTGCATTTTCGATCCTTTGAAAAAGGATATTTACGCCTAGGAATTAATTAGAGTCGTCTCATCGGTGTAGATAAGTTGGCAGGAGAGACATTGATTCATCTAATTATTTATAATAAACTTAATTAAAACTTATTTATTATAAATAGCAATGAACATCATAATATAAAAAACATAAAGTCATCCCTTATCCACATCACTTTCTGGCCCAAACATGACTGCTCCCCTCCTCATAGTCTGATCCGCACCTACGTCATAGACCAAACTATAGCGCATTTTCAACGTTCCCTCTCTATAGTAGGTTATCGACTACAATAGTTTGAATGAGCCAATTCTAAACAGACGAAAATTCCAAAAATAGTCATTTTCGTTTTGACAGCATGTGAATAACTCTCTAAGCATAATTTGAGGCATTTTCGCAGAATTACGGACAGACACTCTAATTTTATTTATATATATAAACCGTGATAATCTATCGATGATAATCTACAGATTATCATAAATTTGACGGTAATTTGACGACACTGCAGTGTGAGGGTAAAAATTACATATATATATATCCCAATTCTTATATAATAAAAAATTGATCATGAATATAGCAAATAAATCTATGTACATAATCCTCACTTTGAAAACTATAAAAATACGTCCAGAATTTGAGTGGATCACTGAATGTGTATGGACTTCTATCCAAAGCCAATGAGCTATCAATATTTTCACGAATAATATATAATACTGATGTTTCTTTTATGACTTCCACATAAGAATGTTCAATAAAAAAAATTGTGAGAATGACGTTTAAAAAACTGAACAGTTAAAAACACTTGAGTTAAATTTTATAGAGAACTTTTCGTTTCTGTTCACAAATTTTATTGCATTACATATTTAGAAATTTCAATAGAAGAGAAAGAATTCAAATAGGTTTAGCGAGAAAAATTTGCTTTTAAACCGATTTCAACAAGAAAAATAGATTATAATCAAAAGTGAAAAAATAATATATCCAATAGAATTAGAATTTTTTCTAATGACAAATTTTAATTTAATAATTATTTGTCTTGTTCTATAGGTAACAAAAGAAGCAGTTTTTATAGGATTTGGATGACATCAATCGGAAAATAATACTTAATAATTATTCTTATATTTAAATACTATCTAAAGAACTTATATATATTTTGCAGATTTCCGCGATTTCGTTCGCGTAATGTGTAGCATTACATTAGAATGGATGCCGTTTTTCATTGTTTGTAACAAATTCAATTGTTATTAACAATTTACGTGAACAAAAAGTAGCCTATAACCTTCCCCACAATACCCTCGACATTTCTACAAAATTTGGTCGCAATCGAATAAGCAGTTCGGAGATTACTCCGAACAGACGGACAGACAGACATCAAGAATTTATCTATCTTTACTAATACTAGTAGATACCTGAAAAAAGTGCTCCAACCATCGGCAAGGGTAGAAACAATCTCTAAAGGATTTACTTTCTAATATGGAAAAAATGTTCAACTAAGAAATGCAGATCTTTAAATTTTACGTAAAAAAGTATACCACCCTCTTACTCCTATTTCTGATTGTTTGCAAAAAAATCATCCCCCAAGATTTCGCCTGATTTCAGTATTTTTGAACATTTAGAGAAGAAAAGTATTCTTAGCATTTTTCAAAAGTGACATCAGTGTCCACATCACTCAAAATGTGGATTTCCACCTTACTTCAACTGGACTATAAGTCAAATAGTACCGGGCATAAATGCTATTCATTTTTTTGAAGGTTATACATGTGATTTTTCGATACCCGTTTGTATAAAATGACACATCATTTGTGTTCGGTACTACACATTTAATTAAAAAAAAAAATGTGTGAATATTAAGTCATTCACCTAATAATCAAAGTTTTTGAGTACTAATTCAAATAAAAGGTTATAGACAAAATTACAGGAATATAATTCAATATATCTTGATTGTACAAAACCTTCATTTTCATCATATCAATTGTTTTTGAACTATAAATTCTACGTTTTACCGGTTTTATTTAGTATCATGACTGATTTATCAGTTTTCACTTATTACTTTATCCAAAGTAACATCGCTTTCAGAAGTTGGAATATCATCTTTTATCTGCTCGTTAAAACAAACGCCAATTAAATGCGGGTTTTTATTATGACTGTTTCACACTTATAATAATTGTTCATAAACTTATCATAATAACCCATTCCATGACCAAGTCGTTTGCCTGTATTTTTTAAATACTTTTCCCATTAAAAAATTTTTATTCTAAATCTTGAGATGAAATAAAATATAATAATTATTCATTAACTAAACCTGTTCTTGTAAATGCTACACCTGGACATATAATAAGATCCAATCCACCTAGTAAATTGTAATAATTAATTTTTTACAAAGTTTTATTAAGCTTAATGAAAACTGAACTTACCTGTTTTTAATGCATCTTCTCTATTATTATCATTTGGCTGTTTAATCATCCACTTCGTCAATGGTAAATTATCGAAATCTTCTAATGAATGCAATCTTACCATCATCATGTTTTTACCATTGTATTTGGGCACAAATACTTGTTTGCCTATTTTAAACAAATAAGCCAATATCGGAAATGTATTAATTTCATTATCAGTACTTAAGTATATGGAGATTCTTTCACTCGATTGAAATTCAGGTAAATCGAATACCTGTAATTGAATAAAATTACATTTAGAAAAAAAATATTTGTAAAAAAAATGTACTTGATTTTTAAAATCATGTTTAAAATTAAAGTTTATAATAAAAATACTCGGATCCATTATAATAACTTTCTATTAGAAAGTTAATGAAGAAGATTATCAGTACTTTTATCTTTTTTACAAACATGTTATTAGTATGAAACAAATTCTAATGATGCACATTAAGAAGTGATCAATTTTGAGAAAATTAATGAAAATATGATATACCACTTTTTAAACATAATTATAACTCGAGACAACAGAAAATGGTTTTCTATTCGTAAATTTGTGTAATTAATAACATTGATATATATTTTTAATTACCTTTTTACATACTGTGTCTGACTGACGTACTTTTTCTTCTTGACTCATATTATTAATAACTCCTTTAATTTCCTTTCTAACTATGTTTTTCGCTAATTTAATTGCATCCATGATTTCACTTTTCTACCATATGCTATACATTACATGTAGTCTAAGTTGTTTATCATGAAAAATAAAAAGTATTTAATGATAAAGATTATAATCCGAAAGATAGTCTGGAAAAAAATCATACATTAATATTTAAGCATTCGATAGATTTGTTTTGAGTTAACAAGAATCATTATTTACAAATTCAAGCGTCTATTTACCCTGAAAGAATATTTGTTTTTATTAATTCATAAATTTCTTTTTGTGTGCAGGCAAATGTCAGTGCCTTGTGCAGTTGTCAACTTTACCAGTAGCAGTATGTTATGGCTGTGGTATTACTAGTAAAGATGCTCAAGCAAGCGCAGCGCAAAATGCTTTAGAATATCTAAAAATCATGACAAAAAAGTAAATTTATGAGCATAGGAACATTTGTTTTATAAAAGTCATCATTTCTGTCGGAATTAAATACAATAGTGTCATTATTACAAATAACTATCACTGCTTAGTAAATGATGTAATTATTATTGTGAACAACGGTAATGATAATAATAATAATAATAATAATTATAACACTAATAAAAATAAGACTCTCCTTAGAGATAAGAATATAAACATTGAATATTATAATAACAATCGATAATTAAATTACATGAGTTCTCTAATTTTTTAACCAATTTGTTCCTCTAGAGCATATATTATCTCGTCATCTATATGTAGCTGAAGGAGAAAACAGTGTTATAAATGGCTTGTAGATTTGGAGAATCGATTTTATTTCATGTATTATATTTAAGATTGAAAAAAATGCCTCTTTCTTTTATTTGATATTATAGAATACTTAAATTAAAGTGTCAATAGAACTTTTACGTCATGATGTACAATAAACAAACTATATCACAAAATTAACATCGCTTGATTAAAAGGCAAGTTTTTCTGTAAATTCTAGTCATTATCTATGCAAAATGATGTTTTAATGTTAAGTATAATTAATTAACTTTTTTAAGAAAATTGAATGATGTATAAATATTATTCCATCATAATTAAATTTATAACTATCATTGTATTTTTTGTTTACATATTGAATAATCATACATTTGAATTTATTCATTAAAATTGTTGATAATCATTTGTGTCATTTGAAACTACAAGCTACTCGAAAACTAAATAAATTAAAAATTATCATTTCGCCGTAAATTAATTTTTTATATTCTATATTGCTCTAGTAATATAATACTCTAGTTGCATATGTCATATACATAACATGTATCTATAACAGTCAACAAATTTGATAATATGTTCGTTCTAGACTTACGTTTATCAATAATATAGAATATTACTTCCATAAAGAATTTTAGATTCGTGAAATAGAAAAGAAATTTAATTTTAAAAAATATTTAATTATCAGTAAAAACTTGCAATAAATATCAGTAATGAGTTTGAGATATATATATTATTCACAGTTAAAATTACAAACAGATACAATTATTTTCATACTTTTAGAATTACAGGTATTATTGACAATAAAAGCTCATTATTTAATTTACTCAAGATTTTTATAATACTTTCAAAAAATCTAGAAATACTCCATTTCTGCATTGAAATAAATAATAACGCACGAAACGAATCAAACTGTTAGTGTAATGCAAAATATCAGAAGACACGTTTACTTGATAGTATCTCGTGCGGGACGTATGCAAATAGCCAGAACTCTATAGTCCCGGATAAAGTAGAACCACGAGAAATAATTATCCTAAATAGGTTATAGACGAGAAAATTCAAAATCCTTAACCGTCTATTGTCACGAATAATGTAGATAACCGAATTTTACAGAATCCCAATCATTTTAAATCACGAATAACTTACTTTATTGAACCTTACATTTCTATAAATTATGTATTCCTATGAATATTCGTTGTCTCGAAAAATAGTTTTTTGAAAGGATGTGATTCTTACAACTGTCGGTAATGAAGTTCTGACGAGTAAATGTAGTATTATTATAAGAATTTGGAGCAGGGAACATGCAAAACAAAAATTGCGTTTTATCTGAATAATAGATGGATTTAATATTATATAAACCATCTTGCTTCGAAATAATCAACATATTATTAGGCTTAAATTATAATAACAATTTTTTAAGCCTTTTTCCCAATCCTTATTTAATTTAAGTCTAGATGATTTAAAAAATTATTTAGAATCAAATGTACAGTTGTAAAAAATACTTGAATATTAATTTTTAAATACTACTACAAATAATAAGCTTGAGATTTTCTATCGGAAAATATATTTGTATTAAAACAATTTTTTAAATAATTTTTGTTCCATTATAAATTCTATTGAGTTTCACTGTTTATAAATCTGACAAAACAAATTTAATTGTTTATTACATAAAAAAGAATTATCAAAAGTTTTAAAAAAGTCTTTACGAAATCGAATGATTTGTATTTAAATACAAATACTACGAATAATAGTATTCGAGTAGAGTATTTTTATTTTAAATACTTTCACTCAAATACTTGATCGGGATTGAACCCTGCTCGGCAAAATAGAAGTCTTATCTGGTGCTTTAACCACAAAGCCAGCATATTTCCAATCAAAATTTCATGTTTATTCATCTTAAACTACATGTTTCGATCCGTAGACTTGGAATTGAGCTCGCTTGTTGAAATTTATACCTAATAGAAATAATAATAATGGATGAATATGTATGTATTTTAAGTTATATTCAGGTATTACATTGATTAAGGCTGGGCTGAAGTCAGAAAGTTTCCCGGAGTTGACTTCACGCCCTCGTGTTGTGCGGCAAAAGGCCGAAGCTTGACATCAACTGAAATTGAGTAGGTAACAATGGAATCGTTCGAAAAATGATAATTTTCAGGGATGCACTACAAAAAGGGAGCCTTAGGGCACCAAGAAATTTACAGCTTTTGAATAATCTGTTTCGAGCAAGACAGAGCACAGAATATATCTATCTATCTCCGTCTTATTTTTCAGAGAAGACTGCGAGTTCGAACAGTTGACGAGCAAGCACATCCCCCACCCTCTGTTACCAAGCCTGAAGCTTATGATATCTAAACGTAAACAAAGCAAATAAAAAATATCAGTGCTCTGCAGAGGTCTGGGTGCGACCCGAAAGGTCCACACGACCAACTTCCCAGTGGAAAAAATAAAAAAACAATTTGAATAGAACCCGTTTCCATTTTTTATAACAAATGGAATCGTTATAAACGAAATGAGGCTGTTTTTATTCATTTAATATGGTTAGTTACTTTATTTCAGTAAAAGAAAAAATTGTGCGTTAGAAGAATTCGAATGTACCTCATAGATCCTTTTTTCATTATTTACAACGAATTTCATTGTTATACACGAAAAAAGTATGTTTTCATTTATGGCATACGGTTGGTAACATTTTTTTAGCAAACGGAAAAATTATGCGTTAAAAGTACTCATATATGTAGAAAGGGTCCCTATTTTTGTTGTTTATAACAATTTAAAACGTATTATTTAAATATTACTATGATCAATAATCACTTGTTAGTAACAATGTTCAATTATTATGAACTATTATAGCGTCTTTAATGCTGTTTTCTCAATCCTGACACGAGTTTAAAATTTTTTCATTGCTGATATTGTTTTTAAAATTTTTTTTTTTCGATAAAATATTGTCATCATATATCCATACAAGTATTCCAATCATTTAATATTCATATTTCTGCAATGATCTTGAAATTTTGTCTAAAAAATGGTATAATTTATAAATTACAAAATTCAAGTAATTTCCTCTTTCCAGCTTTTTGATTCTGCCAAAAAATGGCTTTACCGATTTTCCTGAAAAATTTTTCAGTTCTAAGTTACGTAATTACGCGTCGGATGCAATTGGTCCCACATCGATATCATTTTCTGTTCTCGAGATAATCGAGGCGAAAAATAATTCCGAACGTACGTACGCACATATGCACATACGCACATACGCACAAACGCACATACGTACATACACACACACAGACGTCCACGTAAAAACTGTCGATTTATTCTAGAATAGGCTTTCGAATTTATTTATTATTAACTTTTTTTTAGCAAAGGAAAAAATTACGCGTTAGAAGAATTCAAATATATTGCATAGATCTCTATTTTTATGTTTATAACAGATTTAATTGTTATAAACAAAAAAAATGAGTTTCCATTCATGTCGTACGGTTGGTAACTTTTTTTAGCAAAAGAAAAAATTACGCGTTAGAAGAATCCAAATATATTGCATAGATCTCTATTTTATTGTTTTATAACAATTAACAAATTTTTATCCAAATATTATTATGATCGATAATCATTTGTTATTAACAATGTTCAATCGTTATGAACACAATTTCTTATTATTAACAATAATCATTGACTATTTTATTATCCTCAACGCTATTTCTCCATCCGAACACAAGTTTAAAATTTCTTTATTGCTGATTTCGTTTTTTAAAAATTTTTTTTCCTATGAAATACTGTCATCATATTTCTGTACAATTGTTCTAAACATTTGATATTCATATTTTTTCAAAGATCTCGAAATTCCGTCTAAAAAATGGTATAATTTATAAATTGCAGAATTTAGGTAGTTCACTATTTTTTCAGTTTTTTGATTCTGCATAAAAAATGGCTGGACCGATTTTGCTGAAAATCTAATCAGTACTAAGTTACGTAATTACGCGTCGAATGCAGTTGGTCCCACGTCGATATCATTTTTTGTTCTTGAGATAATCGAGGCGAAAAATAATTCCGAACGCACGTACGAACATACGAACATACGCACATACGCACATACGAACATACGCACATACGCACATACGAACATACGCACATACGCACATACGTACATACACACACACGGACGTCCACGTAAAAACTATCGTATTCAACTCTGGGGACCTTAAAACGTGGAGATATGTCAAAATTAGCGATTCGCAAAATCGGACCCATTACTATAACTTCCCACTGGGAAGTTAATATGCTGGCTCTGTAGTCAGAAAGTTCGACAGTTATTTTACCGAACGTTGTTCGATTCCAATTGCGGCAAAATTTTTTTTTTATTCAAATTGCATGTAATTGCAATTTTATTATGCCAAAAATGAGTTTTAAATCTTAATTTTTATGTAAAATTATTTTTCAATTAATCGATGACAAATGAGAAAATATTTGAACAGAGCCATAAACTCTTTTTTGTACAAATACATTGATAATAGCCTTTTTAACAACTTATTAACAATAAAAAGTAGTTTTAAAACAATCTGTGGCGAGTTCCGGCACTTCCCCGGCAAGCTCTACCCACACTCTTTGTGCCCAAGCCTGCAGCTTATAATTTTGAAGCATCGTTAATATTGTTGGAATCGTAATAGCTCAGTGGTTAGAGCACTAACCTTTCTTTTTGCTGGGCAGGGTTCGATCCCAGTCATAGGCAATTTTTTTTTCTTTTTTTTGCTTAAGTGACTTTATATACTTATAAATAATTTCATATATTTTATTAAATTATTCTTCCAATTGATTACGGAAAACAACTTATTTTTCTGAAAATAAGCTGAGGATGAAGAACGAGTTACTATGAATTCTCTTTTTCGAAAATGTTGTCTTTAAAAGACAATAGGAATTGATTTTGAACTTATATAAGCAACCAATTATTGTATTTGTATAAAATTTGATTGAAAAAAAAAGGAAAAAAAAATTGGCTATGACTGGGATCGAACCCTAATCGGTAAAATGAAAGCTTGGTGTTCTACTTACAGAGCTAACACATCATATCTGACATTACGTTTATGTTTATAAATTGTGTAATGCAGGCTTGAGTACGAAGGGTAGGGATAGAGCTTGCCAGCGAAGTGCCGGAACT